GCGCGTGGTGCGCGGTGCTTGGTTCCCGAGGCTGGGAGTGCGGGGGTGAGTCCCTCCCTCACCCCACACTAGCCAACAGCAAGCCCCCTTACCCACCATCATCAGTGACCCTGCTCACCAGCTGGCAGGGTCTGCAGTAATGGTATTGTCTCAACAGTGGATTTTAAGTAATACTTTCAACACCAGGCCTCCACCAATGAACAAGCAGATCATTTCCATTACACAGCCCACCCCCAGAAATCCTGGCACATCTCTAAAACCAGCTCCAGTCTGATGGCTGCTCCTACAGGCCACTGGCAACACAGACATTTATAATGCAGACGCTGCTTTGCAACCAGCTATCAGCTGGGATTGGAGACATGCTTAGGTGCAAACTCATCCGTGAGCGTAGGCAAGGAGCAGAACATTCCCACCCAGCCACAAAGCGAGGAAATGACCGGTTGAGTTGACATTTTGGTTTTGAACGTTCTTGCAGCTGTGGCTGGATGAGGCTCAAGAAGCAGAATGCCAAGCCCTAAGGCTGCAGCTCCAGCAGGAGATGGAGCTGCTGAACGCATACCAGAGCAAAATCAAGATGCAGACGGAATCACAGCATGAACAGGAGCTCCAGAAGTTAGAACAGAGGGTGTCTTTGCGCAGGGCCCATCTGGAACAAAAGGTACGTTTCTGATGGGCTACCGGGCAATATCTGATGCTCTCCGTTGTAAACCACTCCTTGGAGCTAGCAACACCTGAGCTGTCCTTGTTCCTAGTTGAATCAATGCCAGGAACTGGGGGAAATAATTTCAAAATGGATAAAAGGAAATACTTTGGCACATGTAGTTCACCTGTGGAATGCCCTGCCTGCTTTTTGAGATGCATAATGTAGTAAGAGTTCATTTACGTGGGAAAGGAGAGCATCTGCAGCTAGCCCTTGTAATTTGTCTGTGTGGGGTTAATCAGTAGAGTCCTGTGCAATCCGTCCACATGTGCAGATATCTGCGAATAGACATCAAGATCTGCAGGGCTCTACTTCCAAGAGCCACTGTGGCCTGAAAGGAGCATGGTCGCAGTGCAGCTGTACCGCCCCCAGCCCCGCCACCAGTGGGGCTGTACAACCCTAGACAGGAGACACTGCAGCTGGTGGCAGGGCTGGGGGCAGTGCAGCCATGCTGCTGGGAGGAGCTGACAGTGTGGGGCACTGGCTCCTGGGCATGATGGGACCATGATCCTCTCTGGCCACAGTGTCTTGGGAGTAGAGCCTTGTGGATCCCGATGTCTGTCTGTGGATATTTGCGTTGGCAGGTAGACATTTCTATCCACACAGGGCTCTATTCATTAGCCCTCATACTTCAGGGCTGAACATCAGCTGGAGTCAGGAAGAAATCTACCCCACGTTGTCATGTTAAACAGCTAGGTGCATTTATGTTTAAGTATCTGGTGCTGGTGCTAAGATACTCAACTACCTAACTAGGTGAGGTGGTCCTCAGGCGACAGTTGGATTATCTGTTCCCATGGTGGGGTACATCTGCCTCCAGAGGCCAAAGCCATCCAAGGTAAGGACCAGGACCAACCCTAGCAATTCTCCTGTCCTTAAGCCCCTTTCTGTCCTACACATCATGGCTTCAGTGTAGAAGACCAAATACTTCACCTAAATGAGCAAAGTACAGGCAGTCCCCGGGTTACGTACAAGATAGGGACTGTAGGTTTGTTCTTAAGTTGAATTTGTATGTAAGTCGGAACTGGTACATATTGTAGGGGAAACTCTAGCCAAACATTTCTCCAGAGCTCAGTTTTATTCTCCCACACCTCACTTCCCTCAGTCCTTTAATCTCAAACTGAGGTGTCTGCTGAGAAAAGCCGCTCCGCGTCTCCCTAGTCTGCTAGGATGAGGTCCAGTGCTAGCATTTTTCCTGTCCTTAAGCCCCTCTCTATTCTACACTTCATGGCTTCAGTGTGGAAGACCAAATGCTGCACCTAAATTAGCAAAGTAGGGGCTTTCACCTAAAGTGGTGGATGCCGGACAGCTTGTAAGCTGTTACCCTGGAGCGTGCTGAGCTTTGAGGTGCTGGCTAAGGAAGCTGTTGACTGTGCTTGTTTCAGATTGAAGAGGAGCTGGCTGCCCTCCAGAAGGAACGCAGCGAGAGAATAAAGTTTCTGTTGGAAAAGCAAGAGCGAGAGATTGAAACGTTTGACATGGAGAGTCTGCGAATGGGCTTTGGGAATTTGGTCACATTAGATTATCCCAAGGAGGACTATAGATGAGATTAAATTTATTTTGCCATTTTCAAAAAGCAATAAAAAATTATGAAAACCCAACATTCCTCATGTTAACGGGCATGCTCTTTCTCTTTCTGTCTCTTAGGGTATGTCTAGACTACATGCCTCTGTTGCCAGAGGCATGTAAATTAGACTACCCGACATAGTCAATGAAGCTGGGATTTAAATATCCCTGGCTTCATTAAAATAAAAATGGCCACCGCACCGTGCCGGCTCACCTGATCGTCAGCACAGCGCGGCAGTCAAGACGCGGATTGGTCAACAGGGAATGCCTTTGTCAACTGCTCCCTTATACCTCGTGAAACGAGGTTTACAGGCGTGGTCGAGAGTCTGCGAATGGGCTTTGAGAATTTGGTCACATTAGATTATCCCAAGGAGGACTATAGATGAGATTAAATTTTTCTTTTGCCATTTTCAAAAAAGCAAACAAAAAAAATTATGAAAACCCAACATTCCCCATGTTAACGGGCGTGCTCTCTCTCTTTCTGTCTCTTACTGACATCGTGTCGGACTAGTGCCTGTAATGTTCCTAATCTGTCAGGGTCCCTTCCCCTGCGTCAAGTGCCAGTGCTGGACAGCTCCTGGCAGTCTCTTTTCATAGTACCTCACAGTATTGATGTCTCTGTGCAATGATGAAAAATGTTTCAGTGAAAGCTTTGGAGACAATTTTAACGAATCAAACAAAAGTGGATGTATGTTGCTTTTGAGCAATCACTCATTTTACCACCAATCAATGAAAGTACAAACCCCCATCCCTATATATGAAAACCCAGAGGGATAGAGATGAAATCCGCAGCCTTACCTTAATTAGCTGATGCATAATTTTTTTTTGGTATTTATTCATCAGGAATAATAAAATAAAATAAATTTATTAAAGATTGAGAAATTTGATACATTTTACAGAAAAAAAACAATCATGATGTACATATCAATGGTGACATATTATTACTTTTTTGGGGGCAGGGGAGGGAAGGGGACAGGGTGAAGCGATCTTGTGATTTTTAAAAGAACCATGCCAGGTGAGGTAGGAGTTTGCCCTCAGCCTTTGGCATATTCTTGATTGTATCATAATCATTCTCTGCTGTTGCAGAGAAGGTGAATACACTTAAATGAGCTCACAGGATCCCAGTAGCATAAATTGGGCTTTGTCAAATTGTGTACTTTGTGTATAGAAGGAATTTAAGGAGAGCTTTTACTTATTTTCATATTGTATTTTAACTGTTTCTCTGATCAGAATTGTTTTACTCCTTTCTTCTCCCCATCCCCAGCTGCCCTGCCCCCCACTTTCCACTTCAGCATTTGGAGTGCAACACTGTCTCTCAGATCATCCTGATATTTCTTTTTTTGTCCCTCCCTCCAAACCCACCCTCTGCCCCAGAATCTTGGTCATAAATACTGTATTATTCACTCTTTCAAACTGTATTTTCTTACAATAAAAAGCATTTTAAAAAGGCTTTACCTTCTTTTGCATGCACTTTAAAAAAAAACATTTTTCAGGTTCCAAGGAAGAGAATGAATAACCATCAGGGTTTTAATTATATTTGTAAATAAAAGTGTTCATCACAATGCCTTGCTGTCTCATTGTCGCAGGACAAATGACTCTCACCCCTGGGGAGTGGTTATCCATTCCGGGCCTTGCCCCTCCTCTTACTGCCAAGCTGAGAGTGGAAGCAGGCGTGCATGATTTAACAGCTGCCCTTTGAAGCCACTGGATGCATTTGAAGCCTTGGTGCAATCTCTCTCTAAGGAACAAAATACAGGACTATGTAGCACTTTAAAGACTAGCAAGATGGTTTATTAGATGATGAGCTTTCATGGGCCAGACCCACTTCCTCAGATCAAATAGTGGAAGAAAATAGTCACAAGCATATATACCAAAGGATACAATTAAAAAAATTAACACATATGAAAAGGACAAATCACATTTCAGAACAGAAGGGGGATGGGGTGGGGGGAAGTGTGGAAAAGGTAAATGTCTGTAAGCTAATGGCATTAGAGGTGATAATTGGGGAAGCTATCTTTGTAATGGGTAAGATAGTTGGCGCCTTTGTTGAGACTGACACATAGAGTGTCGAATTTTAGCATGAATGACAGTTCAGAGGATTCCCTTTTGAGTGCAGATTTAAAATGCTTTTGAAGTAGGATGCAGGTAGTTAAGTCGTTCAGACAGTGTCCTTTCTGGTTGAAATGGCAAGAAACTGTTTTCTCTTTGTGATCTTGTCTGATATCTGTTTTGTGGGCATTAATCCTTTGGCGAAGTGTCTGAGATGTTTGTCCAATGTACATAGCAGACGGACACTTTCGGCACATGATAGCATAGATTATATTTCTGGATGCGCAGGAATATGTGTTCTTGATCTTATAACTCACTTGGTTAGGTCCAATAATGGTATCAGCAGAATGAATATGTGGACAAAGCTGACACTACATTTCTATCTCTCTCTAAGGAGTCTGGCTGCTTGTGTTGCAGATGGAATGAGTGGGGGCATCATGCCCAGCCCGGCCTCTCCTGCAGGACATGGAGATGGGCAGTTTTTCTCTCCACGGCTCTGATCATATGAATCCATCTGCTTACAGCAAACATTTCTTTATATGACTTTGTCCCCCACCCCCAAAGAATTAGTGACTGGTTTCTGTGTCCTCCTTCAGTCTGCTACTGCCATAGGCTGGATTTGAGAACCACTATTCCAGTCCCTCAGTGTTGTTGCGTTTTTTGTTTTGTTTTATTGTTTTTTGAGC